ATAGGTTTATGTCTTTGCATGTGATGTGTTCTTGTACTACTCACCAAACTCCAATATAATTCTCTCCAACAACAAATTAATCAAGTTCACAATTTGTTATTATTATTATTTTTTTACTTTTGGGGGAATTGTTACTATGCTTATTCAATTCTTTGTAATGTTTATCACTTTTATTTTTTTTCACCTTATCGTTGACCAATGAATTAAAAATAACAAGGTCTTCGTTACTTTCTTAAATTATGTTACATGAAGTGTAACCAATTAATATAGAAATATACTTTAAAGTTTAAACTGTAATGATATTAACATTCATTCCATTTGAATATTGAGGTACACAAGTAACATTAGTCAAAGGTAAGATTTTCATTTCATGATGCTATAAGTTTGGATTATTTTCAAAGCATTCCATGCATTATACATGGCGAAACAGATTCAATTTGGAGATTGACAAAGACAACACTTTGTATTCACCAACACGTACGTCTACTACTCTCTAGTCTCTCTCTCTCTCTCTCTCTCTCTCTCTCTCTCTCTCTCTCTCTCTCTCTCTTTTTTATTTTTTTTATTTTTTGGGCTAAAGAAGAAACATTTATTTGCATTAAATAGAGCTCATGTGAACTGACAAGTGAACTGACGATTGAATACAATTATTATTATATTGCTATTAAATGTGAATTATCATGATCATGCACATTGTTGGAATTTATTAGGAAGCTAGCCCGAATTCGTGTACTCCAATTAATAACAATCCAATTCTAATGGAAACAGCATATAGAAATTACGAAATTTGAATCCCATGAATATGATTGAATGTATGATCATTTATCAGGAAAAATTGGCATTCATACCCTAAATTTTGAGTCCATCGTCAATTATACCCTATTGATTTTTGATCAGTCAATTTTGTCCTTACTGTTTGAAATTTTTGTCAATTCCGCCTAATTGCCCAATTTCCGTTAAACTTAACGGATTTCCGTTATTTTTTAACCAATAATATCCTGATAGTTTTAGAAAATTGTAAAAATAACTATAAAAAATATAAGAATAACAAAATAGTCTCTTTTTATTCATTTTTTCCATTTCTCTTTATTTTTTTTCATAGCTATCACAATATACTATATGATCTTTAAAAAAAATAATTATTTATTTTCAAAATCTATTTTTTCATGTGCAACGTATGTGATTTAGATTCAGGGGTAATTTTATCATTTTAATTTTTTAAAATTTTCTTTTCTTTTTTTTATTCGTCTTTTTTTGAGATTCTTTTTCTTATATTTCCTGACTTGTATATATTGATACTAAAATAATTATTGAATTTTAGTAATTAATTACCGATCTATTTAATAGATTATAAAAACTATATTATAAAGAAAATGAGGAAGAATAACTTAATTTGAAATAAACATGAAAATTAATAGTTTATCATTCTAAAAAAAAACCAAAAAAAACCTTTAAAAAATCTGCAAAGGCAAGTCTTTTCTCCTTAACTTCCTCTATTTCATAGGTAAGTTACGAAACATAAATTTAACTTGATCTAGCCTAAAATAATTATTTTGTTCTTTGTAATAAAAATAATACAAGTCAAGTAGTATAATTAAGTAATTATTTTGCTAAAAAATAAATGGATTTATCTTTTTCATTAAATTCAATAATTACTTTTGTAGTTTAGCAACTGCCAATCGGCCAAAAAAATTATTAAAAAAGAATAAAAATAGTGTTAACCAAATTTATAGAAATTCATCGTTGTGGACTAATTAAATTAGTACCTTTTCATGTTTCAAATGATTGTCTAATTTTTATATTATTTTTATTACAACAAACAAAATAATTATTTTAGGCTAGATCAAGTAAAATTTATGTTTTATAACTCACCTATGTATTAGAGGAAGTCAGGAAGGAAATACTTTTCTTTGCAGATCTCTTTTTTCAAAGATTTTTTCGATTTTTGTTTAGCATGATAAACTATTAATTTTTATATTTATTTCAACTTAATTTTTTCTTCCTCATTTTCTTTATGGTAATTTTTTTTATAATCTATGAAATAAAAAGGTAAATTAATTATTAAAATTTAATAATTATACTAGTATCAATAAATACAAGTCAGGAAATATAAGAAAAATAATCTCAAAAAATAACGAATAAAAAAATAAACTAAAAATTTTAAAAATTTAAAATGACAAAATTACCCCTCAAACCAAATTACATGTGTTGCACATGAAAAATAGATTTTTAAAATAAATATTTATTTTTTAAAAGATCATATAGTATATTTTGATCGTTATGAAAAGTAATAAAGAGAAATAAAATGAAATTAAAAAAAATGAATAAAAGGAAACTATTTTGTTTTTTATTTTTATTTTTTAGAAGTTATTTTTATAATTTTTTGAATCTATCGGGGTATTTTAGGTTAAAAACGAACGAAAATCCGTTAAGTTTAACGAAAATTGGGCCAATTGAGCGGAATTGACAAAAATTTCAAACAATTAGGATAAAATTGACTAATCAAAAATTAATAAGGTATAATTGACGATGACCCCAAAATTTTGGGTATGAACGCCAATTTGGTGATGCTTTGGTTTTCCTTACACAATTGGCTACAAAATCGCACGAGCACTAATTAACTCTTCACGTTTTCCCTTATTATAGTAAATCTGTAATTTAACGTTTAATTAATGTTTACACCCCGAAAACGCTATACTTTATCTTATTACTCCCTCTGTCCTAAAATTATTGTCCAGTTTGAGATTTCACTTTTAGTACAATTTGAACTAAAAATGAAAATTCAAACTGGACAATAATTATGGGACGGAGGGAGTATAATCTTAATCAGTGTAATTCTGTGTCCTTCATTAATTTTTTTTTACAACTAGAATTCTTGTTGACGGTTAAAGCAATTTCGTAAAACATAAATCAGAAGAGATGAGAGCAGGTAGCTAGCTAGGTTAAAGTGGATAGGATAGAATTTAGATTTTAGAAGGATGAAGAAGAACCTTTTGGTAAAGCTATTCAATTTAGTTGGTGAAAGCATCAATTGAACTTGCATGTAAATTAATAAAAAGTCTAGATATAGCATAGGCGATATAGCTGATAGTCCGATTCAATACAATGAAATAAACATGATGGTAGAAATTGGCATTAATGTCCACTATTTTGTGGCAAAAATCTCTTTGGAATTTATTAGGTTACGTGTATAATTTAATGGAATCTTGTAATTTAATAAATAATAAAATCCAAAGAAAAAATCTATATCTATATACTATACTAAGGCAGAAATCAGAGAGAGAAAACTAAAGGCACGGAGCACATGCCATATAGGATTTAATCCTACGTGGCATTTTCTTAATTTATTAGACTTAAAAATGCACAAAATAAAATAATAAACAAAAAATGCAACTCAAATAATTTTTTTTTTAAAGAAAATAATAAAAACTAAACCCTTATTTTCATGAACCAAATCCTAACACATGGATTGATTGGAGAGAGTACCAAATCCTAACAAATTTTAGAGAGATCTGCATAAATCTTATCACCAGTGAATTTAAAATGTCATTTAAAAAAAACAAATTCCTATAAATCCAGAAGTAATCATGTTTAAAACTGAAATCATTACATATTTTATAAAAATACAAAATTTATGTAAAAATGTCTAAATGTGTATGCCTTCCGTCCATCGGACGGGTCTAACACCTAGTAAATAAATATAAAGGAATTGAAGTTAGAGGTGCGGATTATATTCGCTGCCTTAAAAATTGGACTGTGGCCCAATTTTAATTAACTAGACAGTCATTTTAGTCTAAATTTTTATATTCAGTATGTTTAAAAGAAGACAATCATTTCGAGATGGAAGAAATATATATAACATTCCAACATCCATAACACCCTCCACAAACCAACCAAATGGTAACTAAACATGCATTTGTAAAATGGTTTTTTTTGGAAGTTAAGCTAAGACCAGGTTCATCTCCATTATCATGCACCCTCGTCCTAACATCTTTCTTCAGAATAGCTTCATCTAAACGAGTTTTGAGAACCTCAATCGTCACTCCGGGGTGACCCTTGTGTGTGTGTGTGTGTGCTTGTTTTCTTGTGTTATGCAGCATTGAGTTGGCCACTTAGGAAAGGGGACATTCTTCACAAGTATTGGGAGGACAAATCTCAAGGCATAATGAACAGAAGGGCCTGCTAGGGGTTATATAATTCAATCTCGAACGAGTTTGACGATTACAATTTTAGAATTATTCTTCCAAAGTATAATACTTTAGCATTATCATTACAATGAACAATGCTTTCATTTTTTTTTAAACATATTAAGGAGGCATAAAATGCTAAATTACATCATAATGCCAAACTAATCTAGCAAAATATAAAAAAGGAAAAATGGATGCATTATCTTTTTATATATTTCGGACAGGATGAAGTACATTAAAGGAACAGCTGAATTCAACACACAAGAATTTAAAGGCCTAGTCCATTGAAGAAAGCAAAAAGAAAAAAAAGTGCAGCTCATTGGTAGACCAGCCCATTTGGAAATGTCAGCAAAAATAAAACAAAAAATCCGACCTGCCGGATTCGAACCAGCGACCTAAGGATGACAGCTCACTACTACAGTCCTCCGCTCTACCAACTGAGCTAAGGTCGGTTTGATACTAACGTTGTATCGTACCATCTTTTCATAGTGACCACTCGATTTTTTTTTTCCCTAAAAAAATCTTTTTGGCCCTTCCTATTGATTTTTATTATTATTATAAATATCAAACTGATGTATTTTTAACTACTTATATTAAGGTCCAAACTGTCGTATGTCTCTCGATAGAACTTGGCATCCGCATAGATAATTTTTCGGACGCTTACAAATAGCTTATACAAGTTCAGTTGGATGCCATTAACAAATTGCTTTCAACAGCGAGTTAGTTGGATGACTTTAACTGAAAATATGTGTCCGAAGTACAATAATGAAAGATGATCTATATAATCAAACCTCTCAGAGGAATAAAAAAGAAGTCATTGTTAATTAATAGGTTAGTTGGATGATTAGGTGTTCTGAGTCTTAATTCTCACACAAGTTATAATTCTTTTAGTTCCATGTTCATAAGAAAAGATCGACTAGAAAGGCTAAAGAATCTGCCAAAGAATCTAACTCATTCTGGTACAAAGAATAAAGCAAAAAAATCAATTGGCTAATCAAGCTTGGGCTATTAATTACATCCTTGCTACTGAAACTCACCAAAAGAATTGATACCAGAGAAAATAGCGCACTAGAACCACTATTGTAGTAGCTATTGCACAAGATATTGAAGTTCATGAACAAGATCCCATATATTTTGCTGGGATTCGCTTCGACTAAATATCCAGCTCTGGGATTTAAATGGACGGAAAGAATGCCAAACAAGTGATGACCAGTTCTGCCTAGTTTAACAATGCTTGGGGAAAGCCAGAAGAGATCAGCTTCATGATTTGGTTCAGCAACAACCTAACAGTCTTCTTGTTGTACATATATCGACAAGAAAATAAATTCTGGATCTTACCGGAAGTCTCAATGATACATCTTGTTATCCAAAAATCGCCTTCCAATGATGTCAATAATCAATCTTAATTTTAGAAATCAAGGTGGGCTGTACCTCTGAGAAATCAGTTTCATTGCATAAATAGTTTGTATTTATCAAATAGCGTGAAATGGAATGGGTTATGACTTGGGCAACTCGCATGCAGGTCTGCTGTCTTTTGCCTTGTACTTTCCAAGCATTTCAGCTACAGTTCTGCAGCGGCATTCTTTTCCAGGCCGGATGACATCACCATAAACAGCCATCTCAAAAAGATCAAGCTCCCTATCTGCAATATCAGGAGAATCCAATACTAAGCATTTTTTCTGAGATTCATTAGTACAAAGAGAACAACATCCCACATCAGATGGGGAAATAAATAAAGATCGTCATTCTCTTGGAGAAACTGGCAGAAAGAAAGGAAAAGGAAATACAAGAAATTAATAACAACTGACGCTGCACTCATGAAAAACAAATACCAAGCATCTCTCTAAAACTGTTCCAATATAAATAAGATATGGAGGCAAAAACGGGTTGGTATTCCACGCAGAACAAAGCAAAGCACAACATAACTGAAAGAATGACTTCAGGTGCGTGGATAGAAGCATGGATTAGATGGATGCTGACAAAATCTCCGTTCTATATATTAAGGCAAGGTCTCCCCTGCTATATGGTAAAGAAAACAATTGTCCCTAATGCAGCCAAACAAGGATCTTCAATATCAGATAAAAGAGAAGCAGCTCTTCCAGAGGCTAAATAAGCATCTTCGCGCTCTGATATGTTAGATGCAAATGACATTATGAAACCACTTTTGCATTCAAATAAATCTCACAATATCTTTCCACGCTGATGTCATTTTTTGATAAACCATGGAGTGACTGAGAAAAGAAGTTCAGCTCACTCTATACTTCAGCCATAATTAGCATGGTGGGACCGAAAAGATCTAAGAAGCTTAAATAGAACTATGCTTGTAAAGACTGATGGTTATCAGGAATACTGCCACAACTCGACTCATTGGCCTTGATGAGGTTCAAGACATAATGGACTATTACCCATTCATAAACGGTTAAGAGGATTGTTTTGATCTGTGTAAAACAAAGATGTGCATTGAAAAGACAATAGCATACTGTCTTTTTTTCTTAAAAGTGTATACATACATATAGTAATAACAACTATTATATGCAGAACGGTGTGAGAAAAACAAAAGGAAGCCCGTTTGACAATAAAGCCATGATTGCATTAGTGAGATGACAATGTATGTCAAGTTGTCAACCAGGGGAGCCAACCCATCACAATGATTAACAGATGGAGTCATAGCAGATATCAAATTGATAACATTTGACAATGTTACAGACGGTACTGTTGGAAAGGATAAGCATGTGGGGAAGACAACGAAGCAGAACTTTCGGAAAGGATCAAAGCAGAACCAAATAATCTCAGTGCTGATAAGCTGAAAAGCAAACAAGCAACACCAATAAATTGGCACAAACAGATTAAATTGGTGAGGTAAGAATCTATTCATTACACTATATGTTTCTAAGCAAGAATCATCTAAATCTTTACCAACATTATCAACATGTTAACAAATGAATTAAGTCAATATATCAACTGTAATGAAATGAGCTCCCAAAGCATTGTGTGAATCACTAGGATGAATATAGAAGGAACTAACTGCAATTAAACAAAAGTAGACTGAATTGAATACTTACATTGCGTGACGAAACAGAGTTAGCAAAGCATAACTTACCAGTAAAAGCAATATCACAAGAGTAATCTTTCAACTTAGTTTTGTCAATTTCATCTTTATCTGATTTTAATCGGTTCACTCTTGTTTGAAGTATCTGGCAGTTATCAGCCACAGAATCACCACCTACAATATGAGCAAAACCTTACAATACAACCCAATGTTCCACACAAACCCAAACAAACCTAAATTTAGGAAAAAAAAAAAACCATTAATTTTGCAGAATTACCCTAGAAATGAAAGATCAGAAATATATCACCTTAAAGAAGTGCAGTAGCTAAAGAATTGAAATTCTTTACCTCCGCCAGAAAAAGGGGGCAAAAAGAACAAATCCTTAACTAGAAAAAACAAAAACCCAATTGGAAATTCAGCTCAACCAAGGAAGCTATATTCATCGGACAAAACAAAAAACCATGGCAGGATGCAGAACCCAGATGGAAAAACATCATATTTCTTGTAGTTTATAAATGAATTATTACATTGAAAGTGTACAATCCAGAGGATACCTTTGGAGAAGGGAATAACATGGTCATATTCATAGCATAGGCAGCCAGAACAGTTGAAGAATCGCTTGCAGACAATGTTTCCGGCGATATCTTTCCGCCACCGCTCAGGATGGCGGCCAGGTACGATATCAGCACTGGCCCAGCAGAGAGCCTTTGCCTTTGAATCAAACTGCCTTGGCCTCCCATCTTTTACTTTTTCTCTTTCTCTTCTGTCCGGTGATGATGATGGACCCTCTGAACTACTCATACTCCTTTCAATATCTTTCTTCTCTGGTTTACTTTGTGGTTCACTTTTTAAACAACGCTGTGTAACTGTGTAAGCGGGCTAACGAGTAATCACAGTTTCATTCAATGTGTTAATGACCAGTTTAACCCCTTTTTAAGATAATTAGCTTAATCTATTTTGCCTAACATACAAGTGAAGAGAAAATTAATTCCAATTCGAAAGAGAAGTATATTTTCCCATTTATTATAAGTCATTATGATCTTTCTTAAATTTAAGTAGGTGTTAGACCCGTCCGATGAACGGAGACGGAAAAGACATATACATATAGACATCACAAACAAGCGAATAAAAAAATATTAATATTTTATTTATAGATTTTGTAGAATGTATAATGATTTAATTGGAAAAAATAAATCACAAACATCAACAACACTTTACCATATGAATATATATATTGATAATTTACTTAATGCAAAGAAAATTGTTAAGAAATAAAATATATATATAAAATAAAAAATAATGAACTTCATATTGAAAAGTTAAATATCATGCAATATTGGTTTTTTACACTACATACATAGTTCTGCAATTGATATCACTAATATTTTAATCACATATCAGGATCTTTATTTCTTGTCTCAAAATAATTCTTATTTTCAGTACAATTCTTCTGCTTTTTTTTTTTTCACATACGATACATTCTCACCTTATTTCATTTTTTATTTTTCAACCCGTTTGTTCATTTGATTTAATTATTTCTCATTATCTATCTAATAATTTATTTTTACTTTAACTTACCCATTGTCAGAAATATTTTATTTTTGATGATAGGAGTGTCTTTTTACTCGTTAAAGTCAACTATTTTTGTTCCATTAATATTTTTTTGGACATTTATCTAGTGTCAAGCCATCCTGCTCATTTTTTTCGGATTAAAGTTTGATTTTTTTAATAAAAATATTTTCAAAATTTGGTCCTATAGTTGTTTTAGCAATATCTTCATCAAGATGACCTCCCACTTACACTAAGAGGTAAATGGTTCCTTGACAAATGCTCTTTTCCCTATCTAAGGGTTAAATAGCATTTGCGCTCTATCTAATATTAATAGTCAAATAGCTAGGAAATTAGATTAGCTTAGCTAATTATAAGTTTCCTTCTAGAGGAAAAAAGAGGTGTCATAGGGTTCATGTTAAACCTTTATAAGACACTTTCTTAGTTTATTTTCTTTTATGCTTTCAAAAAATGAGATGCTATGGGATTTTTGATAAATCTTTGTAAGACATCGTCTTAGTTACTAAAACATAGAGCTGTCATGAGATTTTAGTAAATTTTTATACGACAGACTCTTTTTATTTGGGTAAGTTTTAAGCACTGCCTGTGTAATTTTTCTTTTATTATCAATAAAATTGGGGGATGCTCGCCAAGTACCGCCCTGGTACATCTAAAAAAAACAATTATTTTATTTTGTTTAGTAATATTGCAATCATTATTTAATTAGTTTTGTCTTAATCCTATATCAATTTTCTCACATTTAGTTTAACTTATGAAAGAGATGGTTGTTTAGCATCCAAGCTAACCCGCTAATTAGCATAAGGCTAGGGTTTCAAACTCATCTTATAAAAATTAAATGAGTCCAACTATATTTTGGACATTTTATTGAAATGATAATATCTTTAATTTGAAAAAAGAATTTTATCCATTGAACTTTTTTATAACAACATAAATTTTATAATACTACGGAATGTTCTTATATAGACAATTGGAACCTTTAGATAAATATTGAGGGTGGCCCAACGTTCCACTGCTATAAATGAGAATTTTAAATTTCTACTCTCGATGAAGTAAAATCTAACACTGTACTTTTTCAGTATTTTATTTTGCAAATTATTTATTGCTAGTTCTATACACAACTTTTTTCAAAAAAGTTTTATACACGAATAGTTAGAAAGTAAATTCTACAAAAAATTATAATTACAATAATTTTTTTTTAAAAAAAGTAACTTTTTCAAAGCCCACCATGGAGAAGTTGTGTATTTATGGAATCCCATCCTTATTTGCTTCTCCAGACAAATGAAGTAAGTTTCAATTCTATTGTGATAGTTCTCGAATTCTACCCTCTTATCCTGAGTGAGCATTCGGTTATTCCCCTCATGTCTTCACCAGATTCACTACAATCTTGTCAACTTTCGAGATTACTTTTCCTTCTCCCAAATTTCATACCGTCAAATACCCTTCATATAACCTCATAGCTCCGTATCATTGGTTGATGTACCCTCTATATTTGTAGTTCCTTTACATGTGATTAAATAATATTACCTGATTCAGGAAATGTCTATAGTTAAATCACATGTGATTCAATTAAAAGAAATACATTGTGATATAAGTGATTGAAATTTGAAGTAGAAACTATTTTTAATCATGTTTGAAGAATCAAAATGTGTATATTCTATACATAAGTATTAAATTTAAGTGACTTTTCAAAATTCCAGTGCCAAATTTCAAAATATCGACTGTTCATCTCTCAAAACGACTAATAGGCACACGAGAAAATTTCTTTCATGCTCCCAATTCACAAAATGGATCTTTCCACAACTTTTAATCGTACATATATTCAAATAGTTGTACGACCCTATCATCTCTTAACACTATCGCATGATTTTCACGAACAATAGATTGCAACTTGTTATATTGAAATTTTTATTTAGAAAAAAATCACACTTTATTATTCCTATGATATACTTACAAACTTGTTTTTGCGAATGGTTTTTCTGATTGTAAAGATGTCATGCGACTCCATTATCCTGTGGTCAAGAATCTTTAATCATGAATCAAATAAGAAATTTAAATATCACGACTTTAAATTAAGATAATAAAACTATTATACAAACGTGCAAAGTATTCAAGTGATTGAAAAATATAATCAGACCTTGAAACATGTACATGGACTCAATAAGAATTCTTGGCAGCTTAAAGTAGAAAAACTCTCGATTTCTCTACTTGCAACCCTGCACCTTAAATTACTTTATTTTTTAAAAAAATAATAAAAAAATACATGAAATTGCTCCACATAAATAATAATGTTACCTAGTTCCTGTCCAAGAAGAGGAATGAGATGAGAAAAATTTATGACAAGCGTTCAACTATCTATGAGAGATCTCAGTGATTCAAGAGATTTTATAGAATCAGAATTTTAACCAAATTTCAATTGTGATGTTCTGTTAATAGAATGATTTATTTGCTCCTTAAATATGACAGTCAAATTTTGTTTACAATTTAAATTCAAACTTTTCACCATTTATTTTAATTGTTTTAATTGCTCGTGTACATTGATTTTTGTTATTATCTCAACCTATATTGTCTCTAGTTGTCAATTCTGCCAAGCATTGGGATAGACAATCAGTAAATTAAAGAGAATTCAAACACTTTGAATAACAAATCATTGGCTAGTTTGTTTTTGATACCAGATAATTTGAAAATTCTTGTAGGCTACGTGTTTTTTTTTTTTTTTTATCTTTTTTTAGTACATATTTTGATGGGCTCTGTGGGTTTTCAAACCAAAAAAAAAATCGTAACTTTTTTATTTGATGGTTTGTATTATGGACGTTTCAGTTGTTTTATGAAGTGTAGTTTTGATTTTTCTCTTTTTTCAGATGGAACTATTTTTCTAGAGCAAAATTGAATTTCTAAATTAAACTATGTTTTTTTGTGTGTGAGGGGAGGGACTATATTTTTAGTTATTTTCCTTTTATTTATTTATTTAATTAAATGATTTTTATTTTTTCAATTTATTATAATCAATTCGCCTAAACTCTGAAGTACGCAAAGATTTATGATTGAAAATGTATTGTGTTACTATCTTTCTCCCCTTAATAATATTTATTTAACTTGTATCATGGATTCTCAAATTTTTTTATATGGATATGATACCAATTCTCAAATTTTTTAATATGAATAAGTTGCTTTTTTAACTAACTGTACAATTATTGTATATTTTCCATTCAATCATTTATTTCTTCTTAATTATAGCCATTTTAAGATTTTCTTATTTTCAAATGTACTAAACACCAAGTGCCTAGAATAATTTTCTGCAGTGATGGGAATTTTTCTTCCCCCTCATAAAATACTTTTGCAACTTCCACTTCTCAAAAGGGAAAAAAAAAAAAAGGAGAAAAGAAGCGGGAAAGAGTACCACTATAGGATAAAAATAATTAAAAATAAAATTAAAAGTTGGCTCTACATAATACTAATCTACTAACATCTAAAAGTTCAATAAAACTTGACAAATTTAATAAACGTCAATCGCCAAATAATAATGATAATAACTTTCATCAATTTTTACTAATATTAATTATATTATTGAGTGATTCAAAATTTGTTGTTTTGATTTGTACCATTTCAACAATCAGAAATTTAATTGATTTTAGTCTCGGACTCAAGAGTCTAAGATGTGAATTGGCAAGTCCCAAACAAAGGCTATCTTAATTCTCAAAACAGAAATCATAATCCACAATTCATATAAATAATTTTTTTATTGTAATTCAATATTAAAGAACACAACGGACGAATCATTATGACTTGGAAGATTTACGCTTGAAAAAAAAATTGTCATGATGCCTTCGAAATTGTCTTCCAGCTCCCACTGAAAATTTCGGTCTTCCTCAATTTCAATCCATTATTGCCAATAGTTTGACCAAGCATATCCTTACAAACATCAATGAGTATAACAGATGCGTTCTTATGAAGTTTTAAAAATAGATTAAGAACGCACTACTAATTCAAGTTAAAATAATGATCGACATTTTTCTTCTCAGAGGTAGGAAAAATAATCATGTCACCATAATGCCAGAAAAAATTAATAAAATAAAAAATCTAATATAAAAGACATCTAATTACATTCAAAATTGCATTGTGAATAATAGATACGAATACTGGATTATAACTTGAACCTTAGTACACCCATATATACGGGGTACAAATCATGGAAACAAAACCAAATAAGAAATAAAATTCAACATTATCTTAGTGCCATTCCCAATTGAATCACAATATCACTCTAAATCGGGCGTCTCTGCCTCAACAAAAACCAGAGTGGTGTGAATT